AATTATCTTTTATGATTGCCTTTTATCCTGAATAATAGTTATTTCTTAAGAAATTAATCTCACAAAGCTAAGAAAAAAGAATAAGAGAAAACCCAATATTTTTTAAAGATTTTTAAAAGATGGACACAATATCTTTATTTATTTTCATGTGGTGCTGAGGATCGAACCCAGTGCCTCACATGTGCGAGGCAAGCACTCTGCCGCTGATCTAAAACCTCAGCTCCAAGAGAAAACCCAATAATTTTGTGGCATCCTGTCCATATCTTTCTTTCTTTTTACTAAAGTTATTTAACCCACAATATAATTTGTAAAATTGTCTTGGAACTTTAAAGTTGTAGAAATACAATTGATGATGGGTGTGGAAATCCAAGATCAAAAGGTCTAGTTCAGAGAAAAAAAGTCCCAGGAGGCAAAGATCTTTGTCCTATTTACTGTAATTACTTTCCTTCTATCAGTCCAAAAAACAAAGTGCATATGTCTGTCTGTGAAACTAGCAACTGGAATGAGGAAAGAAAAATTGGTTATAATTTGAATGAGCTAATTCATGGATGATTTGTTGGGACGCCTGTCCCACTCACTTGTCACTGCTAGTTCCACTCCTGTAAGATTTATTGTTAGGGCCTGTGATACTGGGACAGAGGACTGAGTTTGAAATTTCAGCCTGTACTTAGAACAGGAGGGGAACAATTCATTTCTATGTGACTTAAACTCTACATCTAAACTATTGAACCAAAGTGAAAATCCAGGATGGACTTTTGACTGTATTAGCAGATTTTGAAAGATTGAAAGGAAGTCCTCTCTGTGGTGGAAAATCATCAGGGCTGAGGATTTACTCGACCCCAAAATTCTGTGCTRTCATGTTGGCAACCTGGATGGAAGAARTTTTAAAAGGTCATAACTCCAAGATGCTGAAGCAGGAGTTTAACTTTCTTTGTCAAGAATTAATAGGGGTTGGGGTTGGAGTCATAGCTCAGTGGTAGAGTGTGAGGCAAGTGGGTGGCACTGGGTTTGATTCTCACCACCCATGTAGATAAGTTAATTAAATAAAGTTATTGTGTCCATCTATGACTAAGAAAAATACTTTTAAAAAACTGATAGGAGTTCGTCAAGGCATAAGGTGCTTAGAAACTGTGATACTTAAGGTGGGGAGTGGGTGAASGTGGGCTGAGGAAGATGCACATGTGTCATTAGGTTCATTGGCTCATTGAAATCATCCAGAACCTTCAGCAGCAGACTTTATTGTTAATCTTTCCCAGTCCTCACTTAGCTAATTTTATTTTCAGGTCTCATCTAGTATTATGCCTGTTTTTCTTCCTCAAATGAGAAGCCACTGTTTTAGCAATTTTAAAAAAATATTGAAGATGGATACATATCTATTTCTGGTATCACCATAATGATTTGAGATGTCATATAGAGACATATAGATATCATATAGACATGTCATATGGAGACCCTTTATAATTCTAAGGCCRGGGACATGGGGATGAGTGTTACATGGGCCTCTTCCCAGAGTCAGATCACTGTCTTTTAGCACATGTATGCAGGTTCCATACTAAAGATGAATCCTTGGTAAGTATAGYAGAAGCTGACTGTGGGTATATGGTGCAGATCCACAGTGCACTCCTGGAAAAACTGTCAGCCCCCTGTATCAGTAGCATCACTTTGTATGGGTTTGTTGCAAAAGGATGAGTGTATTATTTTTATCCTGCTGTATAATTTTTTATTTTTTTGAAAAAATTTTTAATTGATATTTTTAAATAAATGACAGCAGAGTGCATTACMATTCTTATTACACATATRCAGCACAATTTTTCATATCTCTGGTTGTATATAAAGTATGTTCACACCAATTCGTGTCTTTATACATGTACTTTGGATAATGATATCCATTGAATATTTTTTTAGCAGTGAAAGTGCCTTGCGAAAATGAGAGTAAGGGGCTGGGGATGTGGCTCAAGCGGTAGCGCGCTCGCCTGGCATGCGTGCGGCCCGGGTTCGATCCTCAGCACCACATACAAAGATGTTGTGTCCGCCGAAAACTAAAAAAATAAATATTAAAATTCTCTCTCTCTCTCTCTCTCTCTCTCTCTTAAAAAAAAATAGAGTAAGGTTGACGTAACTATCTCACAAGAGTTTTTAAAAAATATTTAAAGGAAAAGTTATTAAACAAAAAAAGTATTGATAGCAAATTATTTCACTAACACTGGACACACATTATTTTCTCATTCCCTTGTTGCCACACTATTTTTATATATCACTGTCTCTGCAAAAAAAAAATATATATATATATATATATATATATATATATATATTTTATAAAAGCATGAGATTATCTTTTTTCTTTAGTTACTAAGCACTGTATGATACGCCCACTAGGATGTGATGAATGTTTATTTAAGAATGACTCATTAAGTTGACCCAGTATGTTTTCATGTTCCTTTTCTCCCATCCCATTGTATTTCTACAAAATTAGTTTTGTGTCACTGCTTTTATTTATCGGTATTTCACCAGGCTATGCGTAGTTGAGATTGTTTGCAAAGGACATTGAGTAACCTGTCAGTTCTGAGAAATTTCTGACGTATGCTTTTCAATTACTCAGAAGCAAATGAATGCTTGACAATTGGGACCTGTGTCTTATTTCCCCAGAGCCACACAGAAAAGCTATCTGCACATAAAATACTTTGCATCTTTAATAGGAGACAAGCAGGAGACATCCAGTCTTACCTGATGAAAGCGATACATTTCTAAAAGGGTTCACTTTTTACTTCCTACATAATCTGAAGTGAATGACATTCAATTTTATATTGGAGAGCTGACCACTAATCTATTGATTTGGGGTAATAATTGGTTTCCTTATTTTCTTTCATTTTTTATGCTATATTTTCCTCTCAAAATTTCACAAACATGAGTGTGATTATAATATCAGAAAAAGGTTTTAAAAGTAAAAGCTCCCCCCCAATCTTATCAAAAATCCCTGCTTCGTTTTCCTTGCTTGCTTTCTGATTTTTTTTTTCCTCTGTTAAATATGCTTAGTTGTAGAATCTGTGTCTTTTATTCACAAAAGTCAAGGTTAAACAAGTGCTAGCTCCTTCATGAACGTTTATTTAGTTAAATGACAAATAGGTATACCTCTTTCTGTTGCCCACTTGTTGCATTCCTACAGTTGGGTATGACATGTCCCATGATCTTAAATCTCTAGTGAAATTCAGTGTACCATTTCCAAGCACTGTTCCTTTAGCAGTGGTGCCTAATTCTTGATCTTGGAACAGGTCTGTATAAAAATACTTCAAACGTTACAGAAACTCAGCATTTAATAAATACCTTCTCCCATCTTCCCTCCCCTCTTAATTGAACTCTACATAAAACTTTTACTTTCCACTTTCTGATTCTTTTTAAGCAGAACATGTACCTACTTTATCTTCTAGGTATGTTATACAGGGATAGCTATCAACGCCTAAATATAGTATTGACAAAGTTGCAAACTTTTCAACAAGCACTTGTGAAGTGCTATGTTTTGGTATGGAAGAAATTGAAGATGTGTAAAAGTTTATTTTTAACTTCAAGAAATTTTTTACTTGTTTTCCATGTTGCTTTATATTCTTTGAATTAGCTGCCTTCAATATTGAGAACTTGTATTTATGTCAATGAATAATGTTCAGTGGGTTAATTTTACCTGCCAGAATTAATGTGATACTGATTTGTTAACATTCCAGAAATATCTCTTTCTCTTACAAATGTCATTTAGATTTAGTAAGGAAAAGTAGCTTTATTTTATTCTTACAAATAAAATATTTTAATACAAGCTTTAGATTAAGGTTGAACATGTTCAGGGGTTTATTTTATAGCATATAAGGGTCTAACCTGTTGAGGGAAGATGTCAAATTGTGATCTTATGAGTTGAGGTTATTGATGGTGAATATAATAAGTTGAAGGAAACAGCATTCAAAGCCAACAAGATCATTGTGCAGAAGTACAATACATGAAATGAAAACAAACATGACTTTTCAGTTAAAATTTTATTGACTGATAAGCAATTTGTATTCTATTTCCTATTCTTTAGAATTTGCCTGCTGAATCACATGTCTCTGTAGACAAGGCCATGTAGAGCTTTCTAGTTTTTATTTTATACATAGGTTGTACATATTCATTGGAATCAAGTTTAAACAGATATTAGAAATATAAAATGAGGAATGGGGAGTAAGATTCTTTGCCTTCTTTATTTCTTCCATTTTTTAAAAAAAGGCTATAAATAATAATATATAATAGTTGACATGGATTTGGGGTTTACGTATTTCTTTTAAAATACGTAAACATGATTGAATAGTAGTTTTAGTCACATAATCTCAGCATGCTTTGAGGGCAGTTTCATTATCCTAGCAAGTTCACATCTGCTCTACATTGTTTTAAAAGGAAACTGTAGTTCACACAGACTGGCTAGTGCATCACGATCACCATTTTACCTGCTTTTAGACAAAACTATACTGTAAATGCCATAAAGCTAGAGAACACATCTGTGTAACACCTTTCTGTATATACTTGTAGCACAATCCCTGACATTTAGTAAGGTCTAAAATACCTGAGTTGACATTTAGTAAGGTCTAAAATACCTGAATGCTTATAGATACAGAAACAATGAGGCAATTTACTTCCTTCCTTGGAGCAATGACTAAATTAACCACCTCCTGGAATTTCTGTCAACAGAATACTTTTTTAAATTTTTAGAAAGTGAACAAAAGTGACAAATCCTTTTGAACACCCAGGTCTGCTAACCCTTTGCTTCCCAAATCAGCCACTCAATGGCATCTTATGTGTGGAGTGTGAGTGGGCTCTAGCAAATGCATAGCTCTCAACCCTCCATCATGTGGTTGCTCTGAGCCACACCATGTTAACAGGTAAAAAGTGAATGCAGTCACCCTGAGTCAGGACAGGACAGGTCGCCAGATGGAGGGATGCTGTTTCCAGATGCCTCTGACCCCCTCCTCCTCCTCTCTCCCACTCAGGTTGCACTCTTCAGAATGATTCCCTGCAAAGCAGTGCTGACTTTTGCCCGATGTCTGATCCGGAGAAAAATTGTCACTCTAGACAGTCTGGAAGATTCCAAACTATGCCGCTGCTTGACCACCATGGACCTCATTGCCCTCGGGGTGGGAAGCACCCTGGGTGCTGGCGTGTATGTCCTTGCTGGGGAGGTTGCCAAAGCTGACTCGGGCCCCAGCATCGTGGTCTCCTTCCTCATCGCCGCCTTGGCGTCCGTGATGGCTGGCCTCTGCTACGCTGAATTTGGGGCCCGAGTCCCCAAAACTGGGTCTGCATATTTGTACACTTATGTTACAGTTGGTGAGCTGTGGGCCTTCATCACTGGCTGGAATCTCATTTTGTCATATGTGATAGGTACGTTTCACAGATGAATCTAAATTGTGTAGACTGGTAGAAGCAGCACCCCTGAGCAAGAGGCCTGGTGGTGGGAGTGCAGGTCTGTGTTCCTTGGTAGCTGCCTGACCGCCCGTGGGTCACTGGATCCCAGTGTCTCACTTTTCTCATTTCTAAAATGTCTCCAGTTGCACAATTCTGTGATTGATCAATTGATTGATCTATTGGTTTTATTTATTTATTTATTTTGCTTGAGATAGAAGCCAGGGCCTCATGCATGCTGGCTAAAGCACTTTACCACTGAGCTACATCCCTCCCCCAATTCTGTGATTTTGTTTCAATACCAGATATGTCTCCTAATGGGTTTGAAAATCCCATGTTAAAATATATATATATTATTTATGGTTAAAATATATATGTTAAAAAAAAAAAAAAAATATATATATATATATATATATATATATATATATATATATAATATGTGGTTCTTTATTGCAAATAAAGTCACCTGATTCTACAGTTTTGAACTTGAGCATTTGATACTAGTGTGTAATTACAGAATTATTAAAATAATTTTCTAATGTGATTAAAATTTTCAATCTATGTAAATTAATGTAAGTTAATCCTAGAATAAGACCAAGTAGCATATGATGTTAATTTTCTGCTAGTGATTTTTAATCTCTGAATGTTCTATATTTTGGGAAGGTACATCAAGTGTGGCAAGAGCATGGAGTGGCACCTTTGATGAACTTCTTAGCAAGCAGATTGGTCAGTTTTTCAGAACATACTTCAAAATGAATTATACTGGCCTTGCAGAGTATCCAGACTTTTTTGCTGTGTGCCTTATATTACTTCTAGCAGGTAAGATAACCAAACATACTTTTCCCTATGATGAGCCAAATTCCAAATTAATCATCTCAGGAAAGTAGGTCACTGCTGAATTTGGAGTGTGAGTTCTCCAGATTAAGTCAGCATGTTTACACACTTAGGTTTCTGTTGGATGTCTGTGGGCATTGTCACTGGTTAAACTCATTTTATCTTCTGTGATTGGTTATGTTTCAAAATTAAGCAACTCAGGAGACTCCAAAAAAAAAAGATTGCAAGTTCAAGATCAGCCTCAGCAATTTAGCAAGACCCTTTCTCAAAATTAAAAATAAAAAAGGTAGGTTTGTAGCTCAGTGATAAAGTGCCTCTGGGTTTAAACCTCAGTACCAAACCAAAAACAAAAGTCTGAATCTGAATTGTTTGGAATGATAGAAGAAACATGTCTGAGTAAAAGGCATTAGCCAAATGATAGCATGAGGATATTTGCAAGTATACTATTTCTAGAAGAAATTCAGGTTTTCTATCAGGCTTTCATCTGCATACTGTAGGCATCGGTTGAAAAGGAGGCATTCAGATCATCTTTTTTTTTTAAATTTTTTAGTTGTAGATGGACACAATACCATTATTTATTTATGTATGTGGTGCTGAGAATCAAACCCAGTGCCTCACATGTGCTAAGCCAGTGCTCTAACACTGAGCCACAACCCCAGCCCACACCTTTTGTTTTTGAACATAGATGTTGTATAGCAAACATAGTTGATGAAATTTTTTAGTTTTTACCAGTGTTATAGCACAGTGGTTTAAAAAGGCACAAGAACTAGAAGTAGGAACAATCTGGTTTTCAGTCTTGCTCTGCCACTTACTGCTTTTAGAACAGTTTGTTTACAGTTTACTTAATCTTTCCATCCATCACTCAGTTTGCTCATCCATAAAATAAGGATATCAGTTTCTACCTTAAACATGCCTCTTTCATGGAACATAGTAAATACTCAATTGATGGCCAACTTCATTTTATAAGCATAGTTAATCCCTATTGTCCCCCTCTGTTTTCTTTTTCTTTCTTTCTTTCTTTCTTTCTTTCTTTCTTTCTTTCTTTTTTTTTCAGTTGTAGTAGACAGCATTTTATTTGTTTATTTTTATGTGGTGCTGAGGATCGAACTCAGTGCCTCACACATGCCAGGCAAGCAATTCTGCCACTGAGCTACAGTCCCAGCCCCATTTTTTTCGTTGTTTCTTTAATATATTTTTTATTTGTTCTAATTAGTCATATATAACAGTAGAATACATTTTGATATGTCATACATAAATGGAGTATAACTTCTCATTCATCTGGTTGTACATGATGTAGAGTTACTTAGGTCATGTAATCATGTAGGCACATAGAATAATAATGTCCAATTCATTATATCATTCCTACCCCCAGACCCCTTTCCCTTCCTTCACTTCCCTCTGTCTAGTCCAGAATACCTCTATTCTTCTCCCTGCCCGCGATTGTGAATTAGGATCCTCATATCAGAAAAAACATTGGGCCTTTGATTCTTTGGGATTGGCTTATTTTGCTTCCTGCTATGCCCTTTGACTTGTTTTAATTATTTGAACGTTTTTTATTTTGATTGATAGTGCTATCTGCAGCCCTGGTTTTGCTTGTGTGTGTGTGTGTTGCTAGGGATTAAACCCAGGGCTTTGGGCATGCTAGGCAAATGCTCTACCCCTGAGCCATTGGGCATGCTAGGCAAACACTATTACTGAGCCATACCGCCAGCCCTGAAGTCCTAATTAAGCCCATCAAGGATTGCACTAAAAATAAATTTTTTTTTATTTGTTCCTACTTCCTAGTTGATTTACTGTGAGTAATATACCTGCTCTTGCCTGTCCAGCCTTACCTCTATTTTTTTCCCCCAGATTAGAAGGATGTGACAAAAATATCTTTTGGCTCATTATGAAATGTTTACCTGTAAAATTATCTGATTTAAAAAATATCTTTATCATTTAAAAAGTTAGTCCTTAATAAAATGTATTATATAGGGATAGAAACATGAACAAAATTTATCGGTCTAAAATGTTTTCTATTTTGCTTCTAATGGCAAAAAAAAAATACATTCATTGTCTTTCATCAGATGATGGAATTTAGTTTGGTTTGGTAGCGAAACAGTCTAGCTTACATTAAATAAGTTATATCATTTTTTATTTAGAGGTGATTTCATTAAACTTAAAATATTCAGCATTAATCTCTCAGCATTGAGCAGCATGTAGCTGTGACCCATTTAAATTCCATGGCAAGACTAAGGTTTGGCCTGAGCCTACATCATTTTTCTCTGTTCACTCACCATCATAGCTTTCCTTTAAAGATAGTCTAAACTTACATTATAACACTGTCCTTACAGTTTTTGAAGGTCAGAAACCCCTCTTATATTTATTCCTTTGGTAATACCCCCTGCCTTGTCAATCGGAGGGAAGTACATGCCATATTCAGATGAGATATTTATTGGTCTCTAGTCTATTGGTGGGAGATGAGACCTCAGAGTAAAGAGTGCACATGGAACATTGGGAAACTGATATAAGATGGGATAGTTCCTTTGTTATTCTCTGGGATGTATAGCAACCATTTGTAACCCAGCTAGACAATTACAGAGTCAGTACTTGTGCTGACCCTATGGCTGTCCTTTGTATCATTCAGAGTTATTATTATGAGATTCTGGGAATTAGAAGAATGAGATTCAACTTCTCTCACCTCTGCTTGGAAAATCTTGCTTATGGGATGCAGGGTGTTGTGGGTATAGAGAAGAAGCAAGTAAATCTGTGGCATAGTATTTCCATAGCAGTCATTTCTCCAATAATAATATGTAAACTTTATTAGGTCCATAATTCATATCTTATGCTAGATAGATTAAAGATTCAAATATGATAAATATAATAATCGTTAATAACTAGAAGGAAACATATGAACATTTATAGGTTGATATTAGGAAAAAATCATTAAAGATAGTAAATAAAAAAGGAAAATTTATAGGTTATTTGAATAACTTTTCTATATATATAATCAATAGGAAGGTTAAAAGCAAATGACAGAACTGGGTATAGTTAAGTGTTAGAGCACCTGCCTCATRTGCACAAGGCCCTGGGTTCTGTCCCCAGTACCACAGAGAAATAAAATAAAATATTAAATAAAAACAGAAAGCAAATGATAAATAGGGAAAGTACATACTATACAGAGAGCTTATAGCATTAATATATAAATAAATCTTATAAATCAATATGAACAGAATACACTGATAGAAAAACTGGGCAATTTCAATTGGGCCAAAGTTTCTGTAGAATATTTTCACAATATGACTAAAAAGCCTTGGGAAAATTGCATAACCTTTGATACAGTATTAACTTATAGAAAATTATTGTAAATAGCTCAAAATACAAAGGGCTGGGGGGCTGTGGTTCAGCGGTAGAGTGCTTGCCTAGCACAGGTGAGGCCCTGGGTTCGATCCTCAGCACCACATAAAAATAAATAAGTAAAATAAAGGTATTGTGTCCAACTACAACTAAAAAATAAATTTAAAAAAAAAGGCTGGGGATGCAGCTTAGTGGTAAAATGTCCCTGGATTAAATTCGCATTATCAAAAAAAAATTTAAAAAAAAGAAAGAAAATTGTTGTGGGCTGAGGCTGTAGCTCAGTGGCAGAGTGCTTGCCTCAAATGTGTGAGGCACTGGGTTCAATCCTCAGCACCACATAAAATAAATAAACAAAATAAAGACATTGTGTTCATGTATAACTAAAAAAAATTTAAAAAAGAAAATTGTTATAAAGAAATAATTAGAAAGTATACAGAGATATTTATAAGAGGATGATATCACTGCTCTTTATAAATGTAAAAAAAAAACTTAAGAGTGATCTAATTGTCTATAAATAAGAGATTAAAGTATGGCATCTCTGTATAATTGGTTACACAGCTGTTAAAAATGAGGTTATGTATTTGTTGATGTGGAAATATGTCTCTGTGTTTGTATGTGCAAAATTATGTAGGAGACATCATGGTTGACTTTTATTCTCTTCATAGTTCTTCTGATAAGATTACTTGTATAGAATATGTTTATATCTTACTATACAACAAATCAATAGTTTCTATAAAGCTATTGATTAAAATAAATTTAACAAGGAACTTTTTTGGCATGACAATTGAAGAATTATATTCCAACTATGTGTAAAATAAATACATGGCAGATGTATGATTGAGTTTTTAATTTTAAAAGGTTCAATCCCCAGTACCATGAAATAAATAGCTTAAAATAGCTTTTTAGAATAGCATTCCATTACAGTGAAGTGTTGCTTTACATCTGCCCACCATTGGTAACAATGGCCAGAGTTACTAGACTTATATTTCTTAGTATGGAATCTCCTGGCTGAGCACTTTTTCCTCCAGAAATCAAACTGGTTGTGTTCAGAAGATGTGGCCTCACAATGAGTCAACTAATAAGTGAACTAGCCATGGAAATGAATAAATGGGAGTTAAATACAAGAAGGCTGGTAACAATAACATCCCTGAGTCTATATTTGCTTCAAAATGTCATTGCCTTTCTTGTAGGTAAAATGACAGTGCTCTTTCTTTTTCCATAGGTCTTTTATCTTTTGGAGTAAAGGAGTCTGCTTGGGTAAATAAATTCTTCACAGCTATTAATATCCTGGTCCTTCTCTTTGTCATGGTTGCTGGCTTTGTGAAGGGAAATGTGGCTAACTGGAAGATTAGTGAAGAGTTTCTCAAAAATATATCAGCAAATGCCAGGTAAAATATTTAGGGTCTTTTTTAATCCCTCTTTTAATTTTTATTTTAATGTTACATTGTATTTTAATGTTTCATGGGGTGTACATGAAAGTTTCCTTTAGTGCAGTGGCTCTCAAACGTTTTGCTTCTGAGACCTTTCTGGGCTCTGTTCTATGCCAAGGCTCTCCCTCCCAGACTCCCCTCCAGACATAAAGGTGTAGGTGTGCTCCCTGTTGAGCCACTGTGAGAAGCTGTATAGCTGCTGGTTCTTGGGAAGGGCCAGGGCAAACCCTAACCACTGGAAGAACTTGACTTTTTCCCCCCAGCTGTTCACCACCCCTAAAAAACAATGAGTGTTTTTGAGTCATACATCCTTTGGGACCACATTCAGTTTCTTTACATTTTTTCAGACTTTTAATAATTTTCAGGTCTTGTTTTTTGGAGAATGATATTAGGTGTATAAGCAGAAATAAGATTACAAAAACATCTATTATATAGAGTAAGATACATATAAATGTTTCTCTTTATATATATATTGTCCGTGGTCATTCTGATGAGGTAGAAATTAGTGTCCTCTGATTTTATACAGATTTTAACATATAATAAAATTTTAGCTTCCATATTATTGAGCAAGCCTAGGGAATTCTGTTTTACTTGTAATCTGGTTCCTATCTGCTTCATGAATTGAAGAATGTACTCATATTGGAAAAATAGGAAGGAAGTTTCTTGTCTTTGTCACAGAACTTGGCCCATGCTAGGGTCTGTACTCTGAAAATCCTGCCTACTTGTGGGTTCTAGCCAGAGTAGGTCTGGATCGTATATGCATTTGCTATTGATCAGCCTCTGCTTGGATGTTAGTGACACAGAGGGTCATCGTCAAGAACAGGATGACAAAATAAGATGTTAGTTTTAGTTTTTTATATGTCAGCTTCAAAGAGCTGATGAATACAACAACTTTCAAAGGATGTTGTTTGAGACAAATCACCAAAAGTGTAAGTTTCTCTGAAAATGACTTAACAATGTGTTTGCTTTCTTCCTTAGAGAGCCACCTTCTGAAAACGGAACAAGCATCTACGGGGCTGGTGGCTTTATGCCTTACGGCTTTGCAGGAACCTTAGCTGGTGCTGCCACTTGCTTTTATGCCTTTGTGGGATTTGACTGCATTGCAACAACTGGTAAGAATAATGTCTTAGCTCCAGGTAGAAGGTGAAAGTATTCCTTATACCACAGGAGTAGCTGTGCGTGGCAGCAGAGAGTGAAGAAAGAGTGGGATTTGGGTAGGAAGGGTGCTGATTCCACATCCATCTGTGACACCTGCCATATCTGATTTAAAAGGCACTTAGTGAAACTACTGAGCCTTGGCTTCTGTAGCTGTACAGACCCCTCAGATACTGTGAAGATTACCTAAGGTAGCATATGGGTCCAGTACTTTGCAAGCTGTCAGATACTTAGTGTTAATCATAATTATCATCCTTAACCTTCTATTTGGAGTGCTATCGCTTTAAAGTGATTATCTTCTTAAATTGTCTTTTCTTTAGTCAGACAAAACATTGACTGATACTTTTATCTTTATCCTGTACAATAAGTACTCAAATAAGAATTGCTCTCCAACATAGAAAATTTAAACAAATCAATTTCAAGCAATGAAATTGAAGATGCCATCAAAAGCCTACCAACAAATAAAAGCCCAAGGCCAGACAGATTCTCAGCCAATTCTACCAGACCTTTAGAGAACTAACCCCAATCCTCCTTAAGTTATTCCGTGAAATAGAAAAGGAAGAAACCCTTTCAAACTCATTCTATGAAGCTAATATCACCCTGATACCAAAACTAGACCAAGACACATCAAGGAAAGAAAACTTCACACCAATATCCCTGATGAACATAGATGGAAGCATTCTTAATGAAATACTGGCAAATTGAATACAAAAACATATTAAAAAGATAGTGAACCACAATCAAGTGGGGTTTATCCCAGGGATGCAAGGTTGGTTCAACTTATAAAATCAATAAATGTAATTCATCACATCAATAGACTTAAAGACAAGAATCACATAATTATCTCAATAGATGCAAAAAATGCATTTGACAAAATACAGCACCTCTTCATGTTCAAAACACTAAAAAAGCTACGGATAATAGGAACAATGCCTCAACATGGTAAAAGCTATATACACTAAACCCAAGGCCAACATCATTCTAAAAGGAGAGAAATTCCCTCTAAAAACTGAAATAAGACAAAAGTGCCCTCTTTCACCACTTCTTTTCAACATAATCCTTGAAACTCTAACTAGAGAAGTTAGGCAAAAGAAAGAAAATAAAGGGTTATAAATAGGAAAACAAGGACTCAAACTACCCCTATTTGTCAATGAAATGATTCTATATTTAGATGACCCAAAAAACTTGTCTCTCACCCTGCACAAAACCAGAAAGCTTCTAGAATTCATAAATGAATTCAGTAAAGTGTCAGGATATAAAATTAACAGTCATAAATCAATTGCATTCCTGTACACCAATGATGAATCAACTGAAAGAGAAATTATGAAAACTATCCCATTCAAACTAGCCTCAAAAAAATTAAAACACTTGGGACTCAGCTAACAAGAGAAGTGAAAGACCTCTACAGTGAAAACTGTAGAACTGTAAAGAAAGAAATTGAAGAAGACCTCAGAAGATGGAAAGATCTTGCATGTTCTTAGATAGGTAGAATTTGTATTGTCAAAATGGCCATAATACCAAAAGTGCTATACAGATTTAGTGCAATTTTCCTGTTAAGGTTCTGATGATGATCTTCACAAAAATAGAAAAAGCACTTGTGAAATTCATTTGGAAAAATAAGAGGCCCAGAATGACTAAAGTAATCCTTAGTGAGAAAAGTGCAGTAGGAGGCATCACAATAGTAGACGTTATTATACTACACGGATATAGTAAAGAAACCAGCATGGTATTGGCACAAAAACAGACACGAAGACCAATGGAACAGAATAGAGAACACAGGCAAACCCACATAAATACAGTTACCTCATACTAGCCAAAGGTGCCAAAAACATATGTTGGAGAAAAGATAGCCTCTTCAACAAATAGTGCTAGGAAAACTGGAAATCCATATGTAGCAGAGTGAAATTTAACCCCTGTCTCTCATCCTGCACAAAACTCAAAATGGATCAAGGACCTAGGCATTACACCAGAGACCTTATGCCTACTAGAAGAAAATGTAGGCCCAACACTCTGTCATGTCAGCTTAGGAACAAAGTTCCTCAACAAGACTCCTAAAGCACAATGAGTAAAATCAAGAATCACTAAGTGGGATGGCATCAAACTAAAAAGCTTCTTCACAGCAAAGAAAACAATCAAGAAGGTGAACAGAGAGCCTACAGAATGGGAGAAAACCTTTGCCACTTGCACCTCAGATAGAGCATTAATCTCCAGGATATATAAAGAACTCAAAAACTTAACACCCAAAACCCAAATAACCCAATCAATAAATGGTCCAAGGAACTGAACAGACACTTCACAGAAGAAGAAATATGAATGGTCAACAAATAAATGAAAAAATGTTCAACCTCACTAGCAATTAGAGAAATATAAATTAAAACTACGCTGAGGTTTCATCTGACTCCAGTACACTCATACATTGCTGGTTGGGACTACAAATTGTTGCATCTCAGAAACCATCATTTGACCCAGTTATCTCACTCCTCAGTTTATACCCAAAGGACTTAAAATCAGCATACCACAGTGACACAGCCAAGTCAGTGTTTGTAGCAGCTCGATAATTCATGATAGTTAAGCTATGGAACCAACTTAGATTCTCTTCAACAGATGAATGGATAAATAAAATGCAGTATATTTACACAATGGAATATTGCTCAGCCTTAAAGAAGAATGAAATATGGCATTTGCCAGTAAATAGATAGAACTGGAGACTGTCATACTAAAAGAAATAAGCCAATCCCAAAAAACCAAAGGCCAAATGTTCTCTCTGATATGTGGACGCTAACACATAAAGGGGGTGGGGAGGGAAGAATAGAAATTCATTGGATTAGACAAAGGGGGATAAAGGGAGGGGAGGAGGTATGGAAATAGGAAACAAAATGAATCTTACTTACAACTTTCCTATTTCCTAACAATTCAGATATGTACATATATGAATACACAACCAGTGAAACTCCACATCATGCACAACCACAAGATTGGGATCCTAAATAGAATAAGTTAAACTCCATGTGTGTATAATATGTCAAAATACGCTCTACGGTCATGTGTATCTAAAAAGAACAAATTTTTAAAATAAGAATCACTCTGCAAGTGTTTCCTTTGGGTTCTTACCATTACATGGCCTTATAATACAGTTGACCATGTTTTGGGTAATGCCTAATTTTATAAGGATAAAAAATATTCTTTTTTTTAATATTGCAACTAGAATTCCTTTAGAAATAAGTTTATGGGAAGCCTTCATGTTTAAGAGCCTACAGAGCGTCATAGCAGTCATTTAATCTCTGTGGATGAGTCATTTTCCAAATGGATTCAGACTCTAGGCCTATCCCTAAATCCTTAAGAATGCTGATGTGATTTTTTTTTTTTTTAATGGGAAACTTTCTTTTTTTTTTTAAATGCGTGACTTCTCCCTCTGGAAATTAGATTTTTATGTGATAGCTAAGTACTTTCAAAAAAAGAGGGGAAGTTTTGTGTCAAATAAGTGGATCAATCTAAGAAAACAGCAGGGACAGACGCAGAGTAGAATCATCATGGAGGACAGGAAGAATTTGACCCACATTAAGTTCTTTGCCCTTAATTTATTTCTTAAGCATGAATATCTTTTGTTTCTTTCCTTAGGTGAAGAAGTCCGGAATCCCCAGAAAGCTATTCCCATTGGAATAGTGACTTCTTTGCTTGTTTGCTTTATGGCTTATTTTGGGGTCTCTGCAGCTTTGACACTTATGATGCCCTACTACCTCCTCGATGAAAAAAGCCCCCTTCCAGTGGCATTTGAGTATGTTGGATGGGGCCCTGCCAAATATGTTGTTGCAGCAGGCTCTCTGTGTGCGTTGTCAACAAGGTACATTGCTTTTCCTTTGGGGTAGGGGCAGTTTGGGTTCCTCCAAAGTGCAGTTAGTATCTAAAACACTGCCTTTGTATGTTCTAAAAATATCCTAACCTGAGGAACTTATTTTGCAGCTGTGTGTTCTCACTAAACAGTTTGCCCTGAGTTGCCATGTAAAAATATTAATTGATTAAAACAAAAAGCCTTTTTCCCCCATCAGTTTTAGAATTAGCTTTCCAAGATATGGATGGTCCAAGCTTCCACTGAAATATATATGGCATCAGCACAAACATATATATGTCACTCATCTTTGTATAAGTGTGTGTTATAAAACTTTAGGATTCTAACTGTAACGTTAGAATAACGTTAACGTTTTTCTGCTGGCCTTGGTGTTGCTTGTAGTGTTTGAGACGGTCTGAAACTGTATGCAGACTTGGCATTTCCTGCTGTCCTTTAAAGTAATATTGTCTGTGTGAGTGGATGATATGTGTTGTATCATTTTAAAATACAAACATATACTTTTTATTATGAGCACAGACTTTTCAGAATGAACTTGCTCTARAAATAGAAATTACCATTCTCAAATTAATGGTGGAAGTTCATATCCTATTTATCTTAAGAGAAAAGGGCATTTGAGTCTTACATGGTCATATTCAGTTGCTGTTTGTTTTAATACTTTAGGATTCATATCTTGTTTTTTTTTTGAGTTATCCGTATTTCCAATTAATACATGATCAAAAGTAAAATTTTACCCTAATATTTTACTACATTGTACTATAGAATATTTTTACAAAGAGAAAATTAATCTTTTTTGCCTGATTACTAATGTTTTGAGTGAAAGTAATTTTCTAAAAGTCAAATTAGAAAAATAAATATAACTTTCAATGTAGCTTTATTTCAGAATTCCTTTTATTTTTTTAAAACATAATAATGTTGAGTGGCAATTAGAAATTATTCTGTGACCTGGTGTACACCTATAGTTTCAGTCACAGAGGAGGCTGAGTCAGGAGGATTTCTTGAGCCCAGGAGTTTTGGGCCAGCCTGGGTAGCATAGTAAGGTCTCAAAAAAGAAAGAATTGCTATTGTGGGTTTCTCAGCCATCTGCTAGTGTTGAGGTTTATTTTGAAGACCTTCACATGGTTTAAAAAGTCTGAATTGTAAACATATTGTGTCACTGTAGTCTTAGAAGGGTTGGACAGAGATTCATCTGTGGTTAAGCTCAACACACCTTTATTAAAAGAGAAAATGGATTTTTAAAAATAAAGCATTTTACTTGTTTTCTCTTTAGTGTTCATCTTTTACAACTAAATAATAGATGGAATGGTATTACTAGAAACACAAGTAATTAAAAATCTTAAGCAAAATTCTTGTTAAACTTTACTGTTACTAACTTTTAGTTGTGGCTACTTCTCTGTACTACCTTTTCAGTAAGTTGATTTTTTTWAAAAAAAACCTGTATCAGCTTTAATTATCTTGTGATGCTGAGAATTATTACCAATTTGATCAAAGATTAGTCTATATGATGAAAAATAATGATAATATAAAAATGCATAGTTACTGAATATGAGATGCAGCTGCTTAATCTCTTCTTTAATTATGTGTTAATTTAGGAAGTTTATTTCTGAATTATTGTCACCAAAAATGTCTTAATGATATTAATTTGGTTTTTTTTGAAATGTCTAATTATTTCATTCTAATTCAATAAGACTCATGGTGCACACAGATGACTTACTTGCAATATTGTTTTCAGTGTGATAATTTGGTTGGGCAAATAATCTGGAACAAAATAATGACTAGTACAATGTATTGGCAAATATTTTTAAATGTCCAATCATAGTGCATTTTAAAATAATATGACTTCATAATTATAGCTGTCCAGCTGATTTGTACACAGTTACTTGATTTCAGTGCTGAGGTGTAATCTTGCATGAATGTGTTTGCCATACTGCATGTCTTTGCTTTTCATTCAGTCTTCTTGGATCCATTTTCCCAATGCCTCGGGTAATCTATGCTATGGCGGAGGATGGGTTGCTTTTCAAATGTCTAGCTCAAATCAATTCCAAAACGAAGACACCAATAATTGCTACTTTATCATCGGGTGCAGTGGCAGGTGAGAGAGGGTTGATGTCTGTTGAGAAAAGGGGGATCTTTTTCATCAAGGATTCTGAGAAAGAATAGAAAGTTAGGTGATCACCTGTTTTGATTGATATGAAGTTCAATAGTTCAGTAATTTTTTGTGACTTGTTCCTGTTTTGAATTTTTTGGTTCTGCATGTTACTATGTCCAGTCTTTACCTGTGTATATACCTTTCTGGAATAATACTTAAAATAACTTACATGTGGATTATGAATTTTTCTGTTCTAGTCTTCTGGGCTCTATGTTTCCTTTACCCCGCATTCTGTTTGCCATGGCCCGGGATGGTTTACTGTTTAGATTTCTTGCCAGAGTGAGTAAGAGGCAGTCACCAGTTGCTGCCACGTTGACTGCAGGGGTCATTTCTGGTAAGCTTTACAAATATAGGCTTCTTCAACACTGGACTGGAGCATTTTGTGCGCATGCATGGACTTAGAAAGTGGGTCTGCATGCTGTGCATGTAAGTTAAGAACAAAATCATGGATAAATTAATGTATGAGCATTGGAATTAACATTTGAAAATTGTGGTGGTGGTGGTGGTAAATTGAAATTCATCCTTAATTTATATTTTGGGATTTTTTTATTATGTCATTATTTTAACCATTTGGACTTCTAACTGATGTGCAAAGGTTATAAAATAATGCTTCTTCAATATGTATTGGGTATACTTTTTTAATTGATGAATGAGCATATGAAATTCTATTTTTGATACAGAATATTTTAATTGAAGAATCACTTAATTTGGGAAATATTAATTTTAAGATAATGATTCTAGGATTTTTTTGAAAGCTAAACTTCACCCCTCCTTAATCAAGTATTGAGAAATGTCAAAGATAAAAGATAACCTCTGGCTGGCCATTGTACTTGCTGCCCTCAGTACTGTGGCATCCCTGCTTTTTGGGTGCCTAGTTCTCTGAGACTTACAATATCCTCTTACCCCATTTGGAATCTAGTTGTATTTGCACCAATTTGGATGTGTAACTTACATTCAGAAAATCCAGATTGCCTACATTTTGACATGTCTTCATATCCTTATAAAATGTCTTCGGCCAGATTCTTATTGCATGCAAAAATTTTCATAGATCCTACAGCTTGAAAAGAATGGTCTTAGAGGACTGTTATAAGAAGCAGGATAAAAACAATAGAAAGTTTTATAGATATATAAAATGATATAGTCTTGGTAGTAGACATTTAAGTCAAAATAATTTGTTAAAGCTCTGATATATTGGGGACTTAGAGAGGGCTAATGCTTCATTATATATGAAATGCGATTTCAGGGCTAGAAAGTATTTGCTGAAAACAGTTTCACTTTGTGAACATTTTTCAATAAATCTGACAGTTGACAAGGCGTAGATTAGAAGGTCAAGTCACTTGTTTTCTCAGATTTCTGTCCCTATAAAATAAAGATTGAGCTGGATGACCCAAAGATCATTTTATTTATCAGTGTATTACAGTATTAAAGATAGTTCATAAATTTTTCTTGTCAAAGGATCACACATTTTATTTAATCTCTAAAACCTTTTACTCTTTTAAGTAAAACTATTGCCCAATAATACTTTGTATTCAGAATTTTAAAGATAATGTATCCCTCTCCACTTGAAAATAATGTAATTCAGCAGCATAATAAGATGTAGAAGTTAATAATGAAAGAAGGTAATTGTAATGGAATTCTTCTTTTAATGCTCTGAAATATTACATTTTGGTTATTTTGGACTCTCAGACCTTACTTGCCTGTATGGATAATCAATCATATTTTCCTCTCTAGCTACCTTATTTCACTGTGATCCTTATAAAACATACGAAAATTAAGTATACTAGCAATAAAGAGTTTTTGAAGTTAGACTTACAGTGTATTTAAAGGAAAGATGTGGTATTGTAGAAGGAGTGCAGGGATGTTGGTTTAGGTGGAACTCTGCCTCAGCCTGGTGATTGTAGCCTTGCTAAGTTAACCTGTCTGTAAAATGGGGATAATCCTGTTAGGTCAGACCATGGGCAAATGCTGGGTTTTGGGTCAAAAATGGTCCAATACCAGCTATTTTACATAGCTAAACCAAAATTATTTCCCATCTCATAAGATCATTGACTTAAAGATGAAATGAGATCATAGAGATATAAATCTTTCAGAGAGGTCTGGAATACCATATAAATGTAATGTGACATTCTCTACTTACTAGGATAGGGACTGATATGTGATAAATTTAAGTTAATATTAAAATATATTTTACTTGTTAACATCATTGTGATTTTGTGTGCAGGACCACAAACTGGTCTCTCACATATAACCAGTCTACCTGGAATGTATAGCTTTAATCAGAGTAGAATTTCATCTATATCAGAAATATTGAATTGAAAATTATTGTATTGTTTAATTTTGTCAAACTCATTTCAAAGTTTTTGGGTTGTATGTACTTCTTAATACAGATAGAAATTAAAATGACTACACAACTTCTAAAATGAAAACTCTCTGAAATTTTTTTATGGTTTTTAATAGTGAGCTAGCCAGTATTTGCTAGCAATATTTTTCTTCTGAGACATCCCAGGACAGTATTCTATCATATATTTTCACTGTTTGTCAGGACAAATGTGTTGCAAATAATAAATGAGACATATTTTGTACTTGCTAGACAGCTGAGGGTCTTTGAAGACTGATTAGCAATTTATATGACCTAAAGAACACTTTATAACTATGAGAAATATATTTTCTATACTTTAATTTGTCATTGATACTGAAATTTTTAAAAAAGTGCCAGTTATTTGTCCCTGAGTCAAGTGATTAACTGTATTGAATTTCATCAGAGGTCATGAACTTGGTCTTTTTTCCTTTTCTTCTCCCAATAGCTGTGATGGCATTTCTTTTTGACCTGAAGGCACTTGTGGACATGATGTCCATTGGCACCCTTATGGCCTACTCTCTGGTCGCAGCCTGTGTGCTCATTCTCAGGTGAGTTACCACTGGTTCTGAAAGGCATGTGCTCAGGGAGGGTAGGGCTCAGGGAGTAAAGAAAATGGGTCTTACCATCCTTGCTTTCAAGGATGCCAATAGTCTGACAAGGTGAGAGGCCATTTCCGTCAGTAAAAATCATTGTAAAGTGGCAGAAGCAGAAGCAGCCTTGGTCTTTAGCAAAGAATTGAGCACAGTTTGATCATTAGTGAGAGGTCGGCCCAATCTATGTAAATGGTATTTTCTTATAATGTATAAAGACATTTAAATATACAATACTTTTTGTCCCGATAATTCAGTGCCAAAATTTTACACTAAAAGTTTAATTGAAGAAGCATGCACACATATATACATACATATTGTTGTATGTATATATGTGACTGCATGACCAATATGATTCTGGAACCTGTACATTCAGAAAAATGAGAAATTAAACCSTATCTGATTCAAATGTCATGATATGTCAAGATCATTGTACTGTCATGTGTAACTAACTAAAACAAATTTAAAAAAGAAGCATGCACAGAYAGATTTAAAAGATGTTCATGGAAAAGGTAAATTTACAAGAGTGAAAAAAATGCAACTAACCTATCAAAAAGAGAATGGTTAGATAAATGAGGATACATTTATTCAGTGCATTCTTTTACAGCAAATAAAGTGATAATTGTGTGGATATATATGTCAGTTTCAGGATGTAAACCTATATATAGCATCTGAGCTTACTTAAATAACATATGTTTACATAAAGAATTGATATATGTATATACACATATATGCCTGGATGAAATTGTACCAAAATGCTAACAGTAATTAACACTGGGAGTGGTTCCAGGTGGTTTTAATTTTCTTCTGCATACGTTAGGGTATTTTTTTCTCAGTGAGCATATTTCTTTATATGGAGGGAAAATACTACTTTCTAAAATAAGCAAAGGCTGCTCAGAAGAAGAGGCCTCACTGGAGAAGGATGGGGGAGATACCAGGAGGTGGGGCCTGTGGTAGGAGGTGCAGGCCGCTATCTTGACAACTTTCTATAGAGGAAGAGGGCATAAATCATAAAGGAAAATGGTATGCACTGGGTAGGGAGAAGGCAAAATGGTTAGATGATCTTGTCTGGGTTAAGCTATAGGAGTCAGATTGGAAAGTTAGTGGAAATGAGACCAGACTATGATGAGGCCTTTGAATACCAACCTGAAGAGATTACACTATTCGGTAGCTGGTATTTAGCCAAAGTTTCTATACTGTTTCCATGAACTCCATTTCCTTTGAGCTTAGTTGATTTCAGAAGCAATTATCCTATTGTCACAATTGCCTCACCTTAAAATTTAACTGTTTTTTGCATCTATTGTATAACTTTCTAATTAAGTGTTATCAGAGAAAATCCAGGGTTGCTACAGATATTTTATTGAAAAGGTTTGTGACCTGGGTCGGCACATCATGTGTCTGGGTCGTGGGAAGAGTCACTTGATTGCACACAGTATGACTTTGTAACATGTCCTTCTTAAGAGTTGTGGCTGCTGGTTTCATTTGAGCCAAATGTCTCTTTGAAAATAAAGACACAAGTATCTATTTGGGGATAGGTACCAGCCTGGTTTATGTTATGAGCAGCCCAAATACTCCCCTGAGAAAGAAGCTCTGGGATCATGTGCCGATACAGCCTCAAAAAGTGAGTCCCAAGTCATCATGCTGCAACAACAAGGCTTCAGCCTGCGAACACTCTTTAGCCCCTCTGCTCTGCCTACACGACAGTCGGCTTCTCTCGTGAGCTTTCTGGTAGGATTCCTRGGTAAGTCTTCTTCACTGTATGTTGTAAAGACCAGCAGATGTGTGTAAATGGAGCCAGAATGAAGTGAAAGAAAGAGGACAGTAGGACTTGTGTTGCTCTAACCTATGTTAGCAACCAATTTGAGTCCTGAAATTTCCACCTAACAAGTTATGAGTAGTTGAGATTATGTGAGTATTATCAAGATAGGTTTATTGCGTCTTGATAATTGAAGAAGAAAGGAAGAAATTCCCTAAGGAAAGAGTTGCAGAAGTGCAAAACATTTCACTGGTTGTTAGGATACTCTGCTTTAAGTCTATCAAGTCAAATACCTCTTCCAATAATGGAACCTGAATCAGATGGGATTGGGAGGCAATGTAGTAAATCTTTGTTTGCTCACCCAGTTATCTAATTACCCGTAAATCCAGTGACTTTTCTTGATCATCATGGGTGTGGCACCCTGCTGGGCACTTGGAGTAGTAGGAGAGATGGTCCTTGCTCTCACAAGGCTTTTATGGCACAAGATTATTGCTGGCAAGCCAGGGAAGAGGAGGTTTCTCTGAAGAAGAGTTAGAGGACCCTCTAACATAGACTAGGAATCATGTCATTGTCTGAAACAGGGAGAAAGGATGCAGGTCATGTAATATTATCCATCTGAATTATCACTTTAAGTTTGCAACAGCTTAAAATACACTTGCCATCTCTCATTGGGGGAAAAAAAAAAGCAGGGGAACTGTCTACCCTCTATAGCATCCCATCAGTCCATGTAATATAGTCAGAGAGTAGCAAATGAGGTTCCAGATGGCATATGGGCAAGGAAAGCAAGATGGTAGCATCAAGTGAGAAGGTTGTTGTCTAAGCAGACGGTAATGCAGAATCATACAGTGTTTCTTAAATCAGTAAAATCAACCATCTCTTTTCCCAATGCAAAAGAAGAAAGGAGGAAGCAAATAATCTTTATATTCGGTGAAGCCCATATATAAAGAACTCATGTTATATCAGAATAGACTGTTAAAACTGCGGAAGTGAAGTGCATGTGCTGACTTCATTTTAATACTTACACCTTGGCAGCATTCCTCATATTGGGCCTGAGTATTCTGACCACTTATGGAGTCCAGGCTATTTCCAGGAGGGAAGCCTGGAGCCTCGCTCTTCTCGTGCTGTTTCTTGTTCTCTGCATCGCCGTCATCCTCACTATTTGGAGGCAGCCACAAAATCAGCAAAAAGTAGCCTTTATGGTATGTGTGATGGGGATTAGAGATCCTAAGCATTGTGTGCACTCACTTCCTCTGTTTGAACTGTGAGTTGTTTAAAAAAATAATAATAATCCTAACAAAGTTAACCCATGAACAAGAATGCCAAAATTCCTGGACATGTCCCTTTTGTCACAGTATTCCCTCTGTTGTACTCCTCATTGCTAAAATTTGGATATGCTCCTAACGCAAGATGTTTATATAGGGTAATAAACAAATTTTTTTTACTAATCTGTAATATCAGAAAAATAATTGGAATATCTTTAGAGATTCAGAGCCCTCTCACATTTATTCCCATCGAAAGCCCTTCCTCTGTAATAATCATGTCCTATTAGAAGTGAGAGCAGGCTTGGGCTGGAAGAGGGTTACCATGTATACACAGAGTTCCAGTGGCATGCCCTGTTGATTTCTATAGTCGACGGATAAGCCCTAAACCCACTTTATCTTGGTGATGATGCAGAAGTTATTGGGATTGGTCAAATCTCCTATTGCTTTGAGCTTCAGTAAATAATCTGAAATGTGTCTCTCCTTTCAGCAGTCTCTAGAAGTACGTTTTTTACTTGGGTTGTTTTCTTGGAAGAATATAAATTTAATGATGCATTTTGAGAGTAATTATGACAAATTTATTGCATAATTTTGGAATCATTTGGGGAATATGCTTTCAAATATGAGTTTAAAAAGATGTCCTTTTCCTCTTAGGTTCCATTCTTACCATTTTTGCCAGCATTTAGCATCCTGGTGAACATTTACCTGATGGTCCAATTGAGTGCAGATACTTGGGTCAGATTCAGCATTTGGATGGCTCTTGGTAAGTCTTTTAATTTATTAGTTTTGGGAACTTTGGCCCTCTCTTTCATTTTTCATGGGCTGTCATTACAGAATATTTCCTCTCTAACTTCAAGCTTTTTAAATTTTTTTTTTAAATTCTTCAGTTCCTTCCTATCCCAAGTCTTAGAATACATCAGTGGTTTTTTTTTTCCTCAGGTATTTTTCACATACCTGTTTTTTTGTTTGTTTGTTTTTTGCTATGCTTGAAGTGCTAGGGATAGACTTCAGGCTCTCGCACATGCTAGGCAAGTGCCCTACCACCCAAAGATATCTCCAGTCCCTCAGATCCCTTTTTTAATTTAAATCTCTCAGTAAGCCTGGAAAACCACTTGGGTTCTATTTTCTCCAACTTATGGATGAGAAAAMTGAAGCACAGAAAAAGTAATGTCATATCAACCCAAATTCTCACCCAGTTTTCTAAAATATAACCAAAACACAGCAAAATGCTTGCATATATGTAATTACCTTAAGAGAATACATAAAACATCACCTCTTATCCTCACACAGTTAGCATGACCGTTGATTGACAGTTCCTGTGTGCACCATTCTTTGGCCTCTCCTGGTGATAGTGACATGTGGAAGGCATATCCATGTCCCTTTTATTAACATAGGACATGCTTTCCAGAATAACTAACCATGACTGTGATAGTCCACCATGCCTATTTAAGATGTAATTTTAGTCTTTACCCACATGTCATTTTGTTGAAAGTATGGTATTGAGTTTTGAAAACATACATATAATTTTATTCCACATAAACATTGCCTGRAAAACATTTGTTTAGAGAAAAATGCATTCTATAAAGTTAAAAATAAAGAAGTACATTTTTCTACCAGAAAAATATAGAGGAGACATGCTATGGGGTACCTTGTATTTGCATTCCATTCTTCTAAAATGGCAGAAAGAGAAGAGGGGAAAGCCTATTAAGTTGTATGTTAAATTTCCCAGATGAAGAATTACTTTCTGACACACCTAAAACTTTGTTGTTGTTTTTTTCCCTCCAAAAGGTTTTCTTATTTACTTTGCTTACGGCATTAGACACAGCCTGGAGGGTAACCCAAGGGATGAAGAAGATGATGAGGATGCTTATTCAGACAACATTAATACAGCAGCAGAGGAAAAATCTGCCATTCAACCAAATGACCATCACCAAAGAAATCTCAGTCTGCCTTTCATATTCCATGAAAAGACAAGTGAATGCTAATGCTTTCAGGAGCAGAGCTGGTCCGTAGTCTTACATACATATCCTACATTGAATAAACTATGACAGGATGTCATCATCATGCTAGGTGGTCATGGGATTGCGACATGCACAGTTCACCTGAATTGTATCTCCTCACATGGTGAATTATATGCATGGGAAACCTCCTGAGCTCTCTTCTCAGTGATGAATATCCCTAAAATAGTGTATGTGTGTGTGTGTATGTGTGAATGTAGGTATATGTTTGGGAACATGAATGTTAAAAGTTAGTTGGTGTATTTTACCATTATTTTGTCACATCACACMAGTATTGTCATAATTGGTGGCATATACTGCATATACCTAAATAGAGGTGAATCACTGAATAKAAAGTGTTTTGTATGTGCCCTCTGTGGTTGGGGAAATAATGATTGCTTTTCCTTAATAGGCTTCGTTAATGTCAGTGCAGGTACACTAAAGACGCAGTTGCCCACTATCATGTCTATCACTGGTAGGGGTGAGGGGATAAAGAATGAGCCTTTTCTTTAAGTTGTAAATACCAGTAATGAGTTTAGTTCAATTCTTTTCCTGTGTGGTACAACAGTTTGCTAACTTCAGCCAGAAGGAGCATTTGCCTCTGCTGTTATATGCAGGACAGAATGGCATTCCATGTCACCAGATGGCATCCCCTGGAACTCTTCTTTGCAAGCTATAGTCCTTAGAGGTGAGATACCTGCACCGTCTGCACCCTCAACCCACTGAAGTGCTTGTGAGATGTACTGTGATCTACTTGGGACTCTTAAAACTAAGGAGTGAGGTAGGCCCCATGGCCTGAAAGCAGGAATAAATGGAAGTCACTTAAACCAGTAGAATCTGAGAAATGACTCAGTTGGTGGAATAATTCATACATTTTTTGTAGGACCTGATCACAGTTCAACATTTTTAACTAAACAGGCACAAAATTCACTCCTCTTTTTCTATTATTTTGTCTTATCCTAAGTGTGAGGGGATACAATAGCAAATTCTACCTTTACAACACCAAGTAGAGGAAAAGATGCAAGAAAGTAAGAAACAACTCCCCTATTCTGATATTAAAGTGCCTGTTTGGATAGTAAAGGGCATTTGACCCAGTTTAAGGAGTTAAGATCTATTTTGATTCTGTTGTTTCTTTTGGAAGCACTTAGGGAAGTCTCCCACCCTGCTCCCCAATAAATCTTTTAGCACTTTTTATTGCCTTTGCTTTTAAATGACTGTTAGTCATTTAAACTATTAAACTATTAGTACCAGTTCCAGTGTTTCACAATAGCCATCAATAAGTGGGGAATTCTTTTGATTAAGAATGTAATTACTTAAAGCTTTAAACTAAAAAATTAACCAAACTGAATTAAAGCTATATAAACATGATAACCTTTGTCTATGAATAAATTATATATGTTAAAATATTCTACGTTCTATATTTTACCTTATAGTGGATCATAAATTCATCTTCAGTGTGTTTTGCTCCTCATGAATGACTTTTTTGTGCAAATATTTAAATGGTTCATTAGAGGAAGCTAGAGCTAGACACTTACAGGTGGGTGGCATCCCAAAACACCTTGGGTGAGTGTTACGAAGCATGCTAGTTGATCCCCCTAATCCAAAGGCAAGGAAAACATTTGTTTTCTGACATTTCTTCTAGGAGATCAGTTATCTTATTGATGCTATTCAAGTTGCAATTATATTGTGTAGTCAGGAGTTGTTTTAATTGAATATCAGATTAACAGGTAGGAGGCCTATGTTTATAGCCGCTATGTTTTAGCATCCCTAACACAACTCATTACTGACATTCCACAATTTCCAGGATGCATGTGGTAATATCTGAAGCTCAGCCAAGTTTTACTGAAGGGGAGGAGTTAAATAAGCAAGGGGCAAAATATTTTAGTAAGGACTGTGGGGATGAAATCCTTGCTGTTCTAGCAGTACACTTAGACCCTTTTTATTCTAGAAAAAAAATGTAGGATGGGCCCTTCACACAGGAAATGTGCACAATTTCATATATGAATCTTTAAATCTTTTACTATAACAAAATTAAGAAATTAGCTTAGAATGTGATAGGCAGCTAAAATAGGATGCCCACTATATTCAATTAGGGAGCAGAATTAAGTTAAAAATTGTTTTTTCCACATTGAAACACTTAGTAGACAAAAATGTCTATGAAGAGATGCTTGGTCATGGCAGCACATTTTTTCTGTGAAGACTCAAGTGGATGTGCCTGTTTGTATGTATGTAAGCATGTTTACGTATGTATGTGTGATGTATATGTGTGTGTGTATTTCAAATATCCGTGTATTAAGTTGTGTTTATGGTAGGCTTTGATATTGTTATTTGGATAGAAAAACAACTGATGTGGAGAAAAATTAATGTTTTATATTGATAGGTATTTTAGGTTTTAAACTATTTAAAAATATACAGCAATTTTATATGTATATTTTCTATAGATAGATTAAGAAATATTTATCATGTTTMTAATATAAAATCACTGAACTCTACATTATATATATTATAACAGGTGCTTTGTAATCTAAATGGAGTAGAGGTAGGGACTTCGGGTATCACTGTTTACTTGTTTCCTTTGTACCTTTTCTGACACACCAGTTCTGTTGCCTGCRTTTGAATTTATAACCCTTTGAACAAGATGTTATATTTACTGTTTTAGGATTACCAAAATGTTTTATGTAGATTTGACTAGTAATCAATCAAATTTATTTAAAGTCCTCTCCAGAATTTAAAAAAAAAAAAAGTATATCACATTCTTTTAATTATGATTAAGTAAAAGCAGCTCCCATAACTTTTCTTTATATACTAGGAATTATCTTCTCAACATTTTTCAATGAAAATGTCTTATAATGACTCCTTAATGGTTTTCTCTAAAAAGGAATGCTTTGTGAATTACCATAAAAGGCAATGCTATCCCTGCATTTAAGAAGATGACTGTGCATACTCTAGTTTAAAAACTCCTTATGAGAAAAGCTTGTTAGAGCCTTCAGTATAAATTAAAATTCAGATAATTGCTTAACCACATTTTCCCCCAAGATAAACATCAAGAAAACTAAAATATCATTTGATACATACACATGTACATTAGTCCTATGTATCAACATCTCAACGTTGAAACTAATATCGGTATATAAAATCTTACTGTTACCAAAGTTGATATCAACCAATGAAAGGCAGGATAAGAGCCTGTTTTTTATTTTAATGAAAAAGTTTTTAAGCTTTTTTTATTTTAAATATTAGCCAAAATATTTTCTGAGTCCTGGGTGTTGGCAAGTTAGCTGTCAATTCTTTTTGATAAAACATTTTTAATTAGAATCTGTTTTTACCATATTTTCTAAATTCATTTGAGTACTTCACAAGGAGTATAAGGGAAAGTAATTGCCCTCAATGATGAGAGAGCAGCTGAGCCTTATCATCTCTCTCTATCAGGGCATAACTACATGACAAAGTCGTGCCAAAATTCCAGCTCTCCTTTCCCTGCACCGTTACTCATGATTTCTCCTGATTGCTTCAAGTGACAGCACCAAAATTACAATTCCCACAGGGCTTTCAAGGATTGGGTTTAGAGTGTACATTATGGATTATTAAGATTCACATGATTAGTGAGTATTTCTGGTGAGTGAAGTTAACTACCCTTTTTGCTAGTGCCAAAACAGTGCCTTCTCTGTATGTTCTCTACTTTATAAAGTCCTCTAACGTGCTTATATATCAAGGGGAAAAGTACTGAAGATCATATAGTACCTAATGCCAGCAAAGGTCTTTTTTTTTTTTTTTTTAATGTATGGATGTGAAAATAAGGTTGCTTAACTTGTTTTTTTTTTTTTTCTTGTATAATTATATTTAAACACTTTAAAATAGTTTTCTGGTTTCTGGATTTTCAGAGGCCTGATCCATTGTTGTTGTAGTTGTTGGTTCATAATGTTCTTTATTGTTTTATGTATACGGTATGGTCTTATTGATTTCAAATGTATTTTGTTATGGCCCAACCCAGTGGGTAACACTGCTTGCTGAGAACATTGTACTCAGCTGTTGTTCACCATGGCTAAAGCCACTGCCACAGTCTCTGGGCCTTCAAGACTCTTCTTTGACCACTGATAGCACCATCAAAACCAGAACCCCAGGCTGGTTCCAGGGTCAGACAGCCTGTACCATGTGAGCAGCTCTAGCTACCCCTGTTGGTCCGGTCTTAGAATAATGGGGAGAATAARATATAAAAGACTTCAAATGCAAATAAGTTTGTTTGGGGTCCTTAATTTCAGTTCTGAATATCCCATGAGTATGTCCAGATAAATAAGGACCAAGGAACATCTATGACTCATGGAAGAGGTGGCTGCTTCCTGGAACTGGCAGGGTAGGAGTAGGGCCTGCTGCTCTTCCTGTACACTGACGTGCAGAGTGCATGGCCACGACCCAATTCATAAGAGCCTTTTATTACCAACAGAATAGGTTTCTCTGACCCTCAACTGGTCAATGGACCCTTTATTTTTCAGATCCACTACCTGTGCCTAGTTGTCTTAATGCTTCGTTACCATTGTACTTAATAGAAATTATTGATAGGGTCTAAACCATACAGCAATTCTATGTCTGTAAAACTCAACAAATTCATTGCATTTGTGCTAATGTAAAGATTTTGTTGTTGTTGTTTAGGAGATCATTTTAAATTTAATGTTTTCAATGATAATCAGTGTGTCTTTTTACTTTTAAAGTTGGATTCTTTTTTTAGAATTTGTAATAAAAAAACTATTGCTGCTTTAACTACTGTAAAATATGCTTTCTAATGCGATCACGTATTTTTAAATAAATTTTAATGTGACAATAATTAAGTATGCGTGTTTCATACAAACCAAGAGTATGCATTTCATATTGACTAAAACCTTTTTTAACTGGGGGAACTTTAAAACTCAATGTGATCTACTTTGAAACTATTTTGTTACACTTGCCTGGGGCCTACTATATAACTGCCAAGACCTGCAACATTAAAGAGATGTTTTTCCATATCTTCAAGCTTCTTGGCACATTCCCAAAACTATCAGTTGCTTCTAAAGCATGCTACTCCAGGGTCTCACAAGTGAGATTCTACACCACCTCAACTGCCATTCCATGGACCAGTCATTTTCACAGTGCTCTGATCTATAGGAAGCTATTCAATGGTCATCCCACCAAACCATAACCTTTAATRACTGGTGATAGGTTTTATAGACCTAAAATTTTTTCAGGATGGTAAATAAATATTTGCCAACTTCAACTCTTTTGACCCTCTGATAGGGAGAAGTGAAAGTATTTTGAACATGATTCTAAGTTACAAATCTTTTAAATTAGCTTAATTTTGAAATTTCTTGGTGTATAGTAGTTATATTGATGCTAGTAAAATGGAAGGAACACCTTGAAATGTTTACACTTTGATATCAATTTAGCCAGCACAAGAAACCATGCTAAAATAGCTAAGAATTTGCTAAGTAGATACCTAAAACCATGGATCTAATTGTTGTCTTGATTAGCATTGCTAATAGGTGTGGGTGCCTCATCTCTGCTTTGGCACCATGGGAGCACAGGAAAGAAGAACTCCCCAGCAGCTGTGTCTGGGTCCAGGCAGGACCCCCTCAGGGTACGAACATGACTTAAGTGTTGTGTAAAGATGGCCACGGATAAGATTTCTCCTTGGGCTCACAATCCATGAGTTGTTGAGAAGTCCCCGTCTGTGTGGGATGAGTGATTCATATCGTCCCATAAAATATCTCAAAAAAATTCTCCAAGACATACAAAAAGAACTCCCATCAACACATTACCTCAACTGTTTTAAAGTAGGTCAAAGTATGGGTGAAACTGGAAAGAAACTCAGTGCAAAACAGATTTACTGGGCTGGGATTGTGGCTCAGCGGTAGAGCGCTYGCCTAGCACGGGCAAGACCCAGGTTTGATTCTCACCACCACATTAAAAAAATAAATAAAAGGGCATTGTGTTGTGTCCATCTACGAAAAAGATTTCTCTCTCTCCTTTAAAAAAATTAAAAAAAAAAAAACAAACAGATTTACTTATGTGAACCTTTCTAGTAACGGTTGATAGCCGCCTCTTAAATATGTTTAGATACCAGAGATTTGAGAGATCATAAATGTGGATAAAGAGGCCTTGTTCCTCTACCAAGACTGGAGCAGTCATCAGGAATAGAAAGACACAAAGCAGAGATTGCGTTACCAAGAGACCCAGGACTACATCATGGCTCGGGTCATGGTGGAAAGCAAGCTGATTTCTGGGTTCTRGGTCCTTTAAGCTATTAATATTATAGCATCGCCATAGTTCAGGATTCTGGGGTTCCCCATTG